CCCCAAAACCCCAAAACCCCAAAACCCCAAAACCCCATCGTGGCCCATTTATTGAAAATAATTATAAAATTTGCTAATGGATCCTAATCAAAATCAATACTCCCAGCCAATGATGGATGGACAGCAGAAAGAATTAGGAGGACCTCCTCCAATTGCTACTGCTCCTCCACCACCTCCACCCCCATCAAACATTCCTGCTCCTCAACCTTACCCAGCAACATCAGCTCAAGACTACTCAAATACTCCTGGAATGCCTCCACAACCTCATCCCCAAGAAATTCAGGCTCCTCCTCCAGCCCAACAGCAATACGTTCAGCCTCAAATCCAACCCCCGAGCAATTATGCTGTAAACACGGCTCAGCCAGTGGATGATACAAATACAACAACTTCGTACCAAGTAACTAACGCAAATGTTGCACCACAGGGACCAGTGGCTCCAAAGCCTAACCCAGCAATGTTCAGAGGTGTCATTACCTCTGTATACTGCGAATGCCCCAGCTGTGGCCAAGCCACCCACACAAGAGTTGAACACGATTACAGCGCAATGCAATGGATCATCTGTCTCATCATGTTTATTGTAGGATTATGGCTATGCTGCTGTATCCCATTCTGCATTGACTCAATGAGATCAGGAAATCACTACTGCAGCAATTGTGGTAGCTCTATTGGAGTAATTCAAGGATCAATCTAATTTGCACTCAAAATTAAATACTACTCACACTGTTTAGATTAGAAATACAGTTCTTCAGTAATTGTGCAATTTGTGATCAAACTTTTCCAAAATTTTAAGAAAAGATTTCCATAAAAATCCTTACTTGTTCTGAGAAGAATTACAATAACTTTAGACATAAAGTGTACTGCAGAATTTTATTTTTCTCCAAGCGTAATTTAGAACCACTTATCATTCTAAAACTCTTCTTAAATATTAACAGTAATCTAACTCCTTAGCCTAATTGTTAGCTACTTGGAAAGGATTTATGTTAAAAAGACTATAAAGTCTAGATAAAATAAAAAAATTAGCGAAGGATTCAATACCTCAGGGATAATTAGGGGTTTTGGGGTTTTGGGGTTTTGGGGTTTTGGGGTTTTGGGG